GCACCGCTTCTCGCCGCCCCCATTGCCCCGGGACGGCTAACCGCGGCCACTGGGGGCCACGATTGGCCGAACTTGCCGCGTCAGCAGATAAATAAAACTGGCCCGGCCCGCCCGGGGGCTTACCCTGGCGAGCCGTGTGCGGAACATTGCAGACCCCTGCTCTAGGCTATAACACTTGTAGTAACTGCTGGGATAAAATTACTCAGTGCTCCACAATGTAAACCTGCCCTTTCTACACTACAGTCTTTAAAAAATGTGGGGTTAGATCCTGTGGCACAAATATTCTTCACAGCTTCATTTTCCTGATTTGGCATTTCAGGTGTACAATTTAGAATGCCAAAGAAGAAAAAAGGCACGTTTTTGAAGGGTGATGCAAAACATATGTTTTAGTCCAAAATGAAGGAAAAGTTAAAAAAAAAAAAAGGAGATTTCTTTACTATGTTTTTTGTATCCAGGGCAAACAACAAAGTTTCTTCCCTTTTTTCTTATTTATCAAAAAGAGCAGTAAAGGTGTTTACAACTAGTAAATATACTCTGTTTTCCTGCATAGACTGTTTAAATGGCAGTTATGTCCAGACATGTATATCCTGTAACTTATCTTACCTTGACTATAGAGTTTGTGCGGAGTAAGACTTAAAATTTTAACTATGAATAAATATTCCAAGTAAACTTCCAAATAAGTATTTTCTACTTCTAAAATCTTTTGTTCTTAGAATTATATATCTTTTAACACAATTCCAGTAAAAGTGAAGCGTTCTGTACCACTTTCTATAGAATATTGAAACCTGTCACATTCAGGCAGTGCGTATGATTAATCTTAATGTGCCAGGTATGCTTAAGTGAGGCAGGATGTTTGAATTTACATCACTGTTTTAAATTACTGTATTTAATTGCTATCAGAAGTAATAAATCCTCTCGACGGGACACCAGGAAGCTCCAGTATCTATTTTACATTGCTAAATACAGCTTAAAATCAGGTACTTTCACTGTATCGTAACACTTATAGCTTCAGTTCATACACTTTATGGCAAGAAACTGTCCACTGTCCTAACCAGGCATCAGAAACCAATTAAAACAAAAGTTGAAAAAGCTAAATTTTTGCTCTTTTTAACTTCAGAATAATAGCAGATCAGGGCAGCTGAACTGATATCAGATTTTGCCCTTTGGATTTTCAGATTTCTAAGCATCTGGCTGTGGGAGGAGTTATGACATCTGTACACCTGCCAGACAGGGTGAGTGTTTAACCTGTGTGTCTATACACATATATATCTACTTATTTTTTTCCCTGATGCTTTCCTTATTTTGGGATATAGGTGCTAAATGGGATTCTTAGCAATTACTGCACAGGACATAAACTGGCATTAGTACTGGAACTTATAATTTAATAAGGACTGCTATATTCTACAATACTTCAGTTAGGATATAGGACATTATGCAAATGAACCACCACCACCAACAACAACAGTTATTTTTAAACTACAATTACAAAGAGATGAGAAGAACAGATTTTAAATTTCAGTCAATACTATACTGGCCATAAACAATTTGGAGCCAAAATTTATCAAACAATTGGATCCAGAAAGTCATTATTAGTCACACAGGTCCTGTAAACAAATTACTCTTCATCAGCTCGGCTGTAATGAAGTTTCTCTATAACTGATCAAAATCTACTGATAGCAAACAGACAAGTTATGCATTTGGGGTAAATCTGTCTGATTCTGGTGGTCTACCATCACAAATGCAGCTGATCGGAGGCTATAGCCACGTGCACTTTTCAAGGATGGAAGAATCAGTTTGCCTTAACTATCACTTCAACATAGAGGTTCCTGGCAGTCACTCCAATGGATACGTTTATTCTATAGTTTGGAGACCTGTATAGCAAGCTCCTAGAGCTAAATTTTGGCTGGTGTGTGTGCGCCTCTTTGTATACCAGAAAAGCTAACGCTTGAGGTGGACAATGAAAGAATGTTGATTCTGGCTTTCCTAAAACTGTCACGAGCGCGATTCCTCTCCTGATCCACAAGAGCTGAAGATATGATCCATGCATTATAAAGGACACTTGCCCTGACATGCCATGACCCCAGGCACCCCTCTACTGTGCAGATTACTCCTGTTCCAGAGGAAGGGAGAAGTTGACATTTAGACTATGGGAACACAATGTTACTTTTGAGTCTGTTTTGTGGAGAAAGCATTTGGATCCAGGTATCTAGTTATTTAAGAAAATTAATGACTCACGGTTTAGGTTCAGATTCATAGTGCTTCTGCGGAGGAAATAGATACATCAGTAATTGTGAGATCTATCTGTATGTTGATGTAAAGTCAATGGTCAGCAAGGAAGTTTATGCACACAAATCTTTAGCAGAACCCATTCTACAAGTGCAGCACCAGACAAAAAGCTGCATTTAGAATATCCTGATAATTTTCAGCAATATTTATTGAAAGGCAAAATTCCCCCGCCCATGTACTCAGACAAATAGCTAGCGTGGGCAACAAAAGGCTTTCACAGCTGGAGAAGGGAAAGGAGTCCTTCCTTCCAGGACTATGAGTAGTAGCAGAGATGCTCCTGCATCATAGCTGCATAGAGAAAGTGGTCAGTGGAAAGAATACATAGAGGCAGACCCATTAATCCTACCCCCATTTCCCCTCCTCCCCCCATGTATCCCCCCTGCTCTGTCCCAACCCCTCCTGTATCAGTCAGCTGGAAGCACCTGTGGAGCTGTGGTCCATGTTGTGCAGGAGGTTTTGCACACCCTATCGTGGCTGCCAGTGTCTTACACCTCCTCATCTCTGGTATGCAGTGGAACCACTGTCGTTCTAATTAGGGCCGCCCAGAGGATTCAGGAGGCCTGGGGTCTTCGGCGGCGGGTCCCGGAGCAAGTGAAGGACCCGCTGCTGAATTGCTGCCGAAAACTCTCGTGGGGGCCCCTGTGGGGCCCGGGGCAAATTGCCCCATTTGCCCCCCCCGGGCAGCCCTGGTTCTAATGCATTTGACAAGCATTCACCTGTGGAGACGGGGAGTTGGATTTGCTCCTGTGTGGGTCAGGTTATGTGCATACATTGGTCACTTTACAAGTTTCTTCTGTTTTCAAAGATTCTACTGGTTTGGGAGATGTTCCCTATACTGAAAAATGGAGTACTATTTGTGGAACTGTTAACTTAAAACAGACTAAGAATGTGACCACTGTGCCTGTATAAATCATGAACAAGTTATTAATCTGTTGGAAGAAAAAGATGGCAAGGTTTCATAACAAAATGTCGTAGGTAATTTCAATGTAAATTGTTTGCCTTTAGCTGAAAAGTACAGCTCTAGATGAGTAAATCAACATACACAAGTGAGGTACAACCTTGTTTGTTCTACTTGCACTTTTATTCTTGTAAATCAGTAATCTAATAACAGGCAAAAAACTTGGTGCTAAATAGAAAAATAAATCAGTTCTTACAAATGCACAAAAGTTCTCTTCATTGTTTACCAAAGTGAAAAGCAGTTACTCCATACTTATCACAGTGACTAGTGGAAATCACACTGCAATTTATAGATGGCCAGGTGCAATCGACATACCTAATCTTATCATGCATTTGTTTTATTTGCAGGTGTAACAGTTGGTGTCAGTTAATAGGTTACTAACCATCAAGTAAACTTATTTCCTTTTAGCATTTATCCTGCCTCAGAGCTATAGAAATTATTTACAAACGGTCCTGACTTGTGTATTAGTTGCTGAATTTGAATTTAATTGTTTCAGATTTTTCATTATTTAGTGCACTCGATTTAGAATGAAAATGGTTAATGAGGAATCCATTATGGCAATCAAAAGTAGGTTTTGCTAAACATGTTCCATTTCATATATTTTCTCTGGATCTAACATCTGGAATTTTCAAAATATAACATTTACTTTCTGGACTTTTAATGTTGTAAAGAGGGGATCAAGAAAGCTGGTGAGTGTAGAAAAGAATGAGCTATTGCTAAGTAGGGCCCAGTTCTGCCAGGTGCAGAGTGCCTCAACTCCTGGTTGTTGAAGATACTCAGCACCTCGTGAGAGGTGCTTAGCACCAAGACTATATAGTTTCCTAAATACAATTGCAGTCTGTATGAACTTGCTTTTAAATAATATCCTGAAAACTAAGGATCAAATTCTGTCCTTAGATTCATGCATATTGCAGACAATGGGATCTGTACACATTTCAAGGAAAGAATTTGGAGTAAAGGTTTGTTTTCATGGAAACATTTATGGTTGTCGTTACAGGCATTTGTTCTGCCCAGGAGTCTATGGCAGCAGCTAGGAGATTTGCATTTTCCCTATTTCCATTATCAGTAGAATCACTTACAAAACCCTGAACAACCCCCAAAGCTTTCTTGTATTCTTTCACTGTAATATTAAGCAGCTACTTGAAGATAAACAAATGTACTCATTAGGAGTGAGTAGTCTGCAGTTTCTAAAAGTGAGCAATAGATTCAGTTATTCCAAACTTTTGTTTCCACTTACATACAATCTACCCTATTCTCTGCTCCTAAGTTAGTACATTATATTCAATTTATCTATTATCTGCATATACTCTATTAAAATGCATATTACTTTTAGATAATTTGTTCCTAGTTTTGGCCATCAAAACTTCAATAATAAATAAGACAGACAGTGCAGTCGGGTGTAATTATAGAATGGACTAGTAAGGCATTCTCCTAAGTCATGAGGTTGCAGGTTGAGTGTTTTTAACCAACAGAGAAACGAAGAAAAGTGCTGTAATCTCGTAGGCCCCCCATCCTGATCAGGCCTTAGCAATGCCTCATCTGGAGTGTTGTCTTGTACAACTTCTCTTCTGTACCAACATATTTATGAACCATTAAACAGGTGACTTTTTGAATAATTTGTAGTGAAGAATTTACTCTTTCTGCTGACAGAATGCCCATGAGCAGATTGTAATTCCCTCTAATTCCTCAGGTTTTTAATACAATGTTTTGTTCTGTTAGTTAATACTAACAATTTACTTAATACTGTACAGGACATATTCAAAATAAGTCTAATTCTAGGATGAATTTTATTTGGTATAATCCTAAAAGTACAAAAATGTACACATTCCAATAAACTAACATTATTCACAAAAATTATAACCTGTCCTTCCTCTGCAACTGATTCAGAAGGCTCTGGCTGTCCAGTTCTGGCTCCTTCCTACTCCTGCTTCTCCAGTTCTGATAGGAGGATGGTGCTTGTAGTGGGCCTCAGAATATCTGCTCATGGTCTCAACATTGTTGATGGGATGGTGCTGCTGCCTTTGGGCCTTTAAATGTCTGCTCCCACTATCCCTGCTGTGCAGTGGAGAGGATGCTGGCTGAGCAGTGAGGTAGAGGATATATTATTAGACAACGAAAACAGCTTATTAGCAGTTTTGACACTTCCACATTAAAGGGACTTTTTGGTGGGAGGTGAAACCACAGTGCTAACTTCCTTGTCCTACTGTCTTTCATGTAGGATGCTATCTTCACTGCAGGGGAGGCTCTAGGCACCAGCAAAGCAAGCATGTGCTTGGGGCAGCCCATTTGCAGGGGCGGCAGGGATCCAGTATGGGAGCTGAGAACCAACAGGGGGCTCTGGGAGCTGTAGTTCCTTGGTTAGCTCCCTGCCTGTAGAGCCAGCCCAGGAGCAGGGAAAGAACTACATTTCCCCGCATTCCCTTGGCCACTACCAACAGGAAAGAGGGGGAGGGAGGGAGGTAGCCGAGACCTCATGCTGCAGCCTGCTGTGAATGGAGAGCTGCACTAGGAAGGGTAGGGATACCATATTTTAACATTCAAAAATTAGGACACTCCACAGGGAGGAAGGGTAGCCCCACCCTGCCACCATCCACTCCCTCCGACTGCCCCCCACAGAAACCCCAGCCCATCCAACCCCCCCTGCTCCCTGTCCCCTGATCACCCCCTCCTGGGACCCCTGCCCCTATCTAAGCCTCCCTTCTCCTTGTTCCCAACTGCCCCCTCCTGAGACCCCCCCCAA